TCAACTGGAATTGTATTTAAATAATAACATCAGTTAGAAAAATCAAAAAACTGTGATACTCTAAAATGCATATTTAAAGAGATCATTTCTATAGAAAAATCTAGGGTTGGTTTTCTTTCTGTTATCAACCCGTGAACAATTAATACTCATCTCTGCAGCTCTACCCAGTTGTTCTTATGGTTTTCTTTCACTTAACTAGAATACTTAGTTAAATAAAAATCTATTGAAGGGCTGGGCCCTGGGTTCAATCCTACTACTTAAAAACACATACACACACATACACGCACACACACAACAACAATAACAAAAAACCTATTGAAGTTTCTAACATTAGATTTTTATTTCTCATAATGCTATTTTCTAGCAGCACAACCAACACTAATTTCACTCTTCAGCTTGGTGTTCACATCATTAAACAACCTTATACACAGTACTTGCTCAGTATGTGGGTGAATGAACCCATAAAAAATGCATTCATCTTTTTCAGTCTATTGGCTCCTTTTCCGGTTTCAACAAAAGAAGGTTCAGTTCTAACTCCACTGCTTGCTCAGCCTGTCTGAGTCTTCTCTAGTCCCTCAGACTGTAATTTCCCCAAGCTCAGGGAGATCCTAAAATCTAATTATGAACTTTTTCCAGTGTTAGCCACTATATAATCTGTGCTCATTCGAAGAAACCAAATTCATTTTCCATATAGAAAGGAAATATAGTTGAGAAATGGTATGTTGTCTACAGTGTCAATTTCTAAGGGATTTGTTAAGGTTTATGTGTGATTTCCCCCCATTGTGGTTGGTATTTTATAGCCTACCTTTTGGCAACCTCATCTTTTCCTTTTATTTATTTTTTAATTTTTGTATGTGTGTGGCAGGGAGGTGGATACTGGGACTGAAACCAGGAGCCCTCTACCTCTGAGTTATATCCCTGGTCCCTTTTTGATGTTTTCTTTTGAGACAGAGTTTAGCTAAGTGGCCCAGGCTGGCCTTGAACTGGTGATCCTCCTGCCTTAGCCTCCTGAGGAATTCTAGGCATGTGTCCCTGAGCCTGACTCCCTTCCACTCTCATGAAAGATATTTTCTAAGTCTCTAGTGCTATGATTCTTATGTTTCAGTGCCTCTACAGAAAATACATTGGGGATTTTGTAAAATGTTGCTTCCATGCAGCACTACTAGAAATTCAGATTGATTAGACCTTGGATTACACATTTATAAAAATTGCAGGAAAACGTTGCAGGTTATATTCAAGGCTACACTTTGATCAAGATTATCTCAGATTGCTTGGTGTGCTTATATTGCTGTTTCTATGTACAGACATGAATGCACACCTAATCAATGCAATTTACAAAAAAAAATCTGCCATCTAGTTGCCTCCTTTCCAGTACATTTCCCCTGCCTCAGACCTGTCCCCCACAAAAAAAAAAACCTGTTTAATGATTTTATAAATATAGTCAAGCTTACAAATAAACCCAAAGCAGTAAACATTTATTACAGAAATTTTCCTCCGAGGCTGTATCTCTTTGTTTTTGAAAAAGGTTAAGTTTTTTTTTGTTTTTTTTTTTTTTCTGTTGGATAGAAGATCTTGGCTGGCCCTGGACAAGTATACATCTTTAGTGTCCCTTCCTCTTTCTCTCCCATACACTCTCTTCCATCCTACATCGATGGTGCCCTGTCTGCCAAGGTTTTCGCACCATTACACATACTTTGGCCTGTCCTAAGTCACATGGATCTACACATCTCTCCTGAGTACCTGTTCCCACCTAAGGACTTCTTTCAGCAACAGATAATCCAAAAGGCAAATCAATTTGTCACATGTCATAAGTGGGAATTCATAAATGGTGGTTAACCCAGGCATTCATCCGAGGCTTTCATCATCATCAACAGTAAGAACTTAGAGTCTACTCAGTTGTGGGCTCTGTGTGACTCAGATGTGGGCTCAAATTTCTCTTCTGTGTGGAAAGAGAATATTGTTTCTTTGAATACTAGGTTACTTGGTTGACTTACGTTTAGAGAACATATTGAAAAACATTTGTCTTTAAATTCTAGAACCACCTTGAGCTTGGGAAACTATAGACTAAGAAGCGCAGGATAAACAGATCAGCTGAGAAAATTGACAAGAGATTTTTTTCTTTATTTCTTTCTTTTCTTTTTCTTTTTTCCCAGTACTAAGTATTGAACCTAGAACCTTGGGCATAGCTAAGTAAGCATTCTATCTCTCCGAGTACATCCCCAGCCCTCTTTATTCTTTATTTTGAGAGTCCTGCTAAATTGCTCAGGCTAGCCTGAACTTGAGATTCTCCTGCCCCTGCATTCTGAGTAGCAAGGATTACAGATGGCTTTCACCATGCTTAACATGCAATACATTTTTATTAGCTATAGTCACCATGCTGTACAATAGGTCCTCAGATCTTATGAATCTTACAACTGCAAGTTTGTACCCTGGACTCTCATCTCCCCATTCCCCACTCTCCTCACCACCCAACTACCTGGCAGCTACTAGAAATCACCCTTCTACTCTGTGTTTATATATTCAATAGACTTTAGATTTCACATTTAAGTGAGATCATACAGTATTTGTCTTTCTATGTCTGGCTTATTTCACTTAGCAACAATGTCCTCTGGGTTTATCCATGTTTTGGCAAATGTCAGACTTTCCTCTTTTTTTAAGAAAAAGGCTGAATATTATTTCTCTCTCTGTACATTCACCATATTTTCATATTTTATTTATCCATTCATCCATCCACAGACAATTAGATTACTTCCATGTCTTGGCTATTTTGAATTATGCTGTAATGAACTTGGGAGTACAGATAGCTCTTTGAGACAGGAATTTTATTTGCTTTGGATCTATACCCAGAAGTGGGATGGCTGGATTATATGATAATTCTATTTTTGTTTTCTGGAGGAATCATCAATGTCGAGTCCATTTTGTGTTGCTATAGCACAGACTGGGTAATTTATTTTTAAAAATAAATTTATTTCTTACCTTTCTGCAGGCTGATAAATACAAGATCAAGGGGCTGGCATATGCCAAGGGACTTCTTGGTGCATTATCCCATTGTGAAGGACAAAGAAAGGGCAAGGGATAAACACACAATCTAAAGCCCTTTAATAATCAGCAGGAACCCATTCATGAGGGTAGAGCCCTTGTGATCTAAACACCTCACATTGGCCCTACTCCTTGAACTTATGTTGGGTACTAAATTTCCAACACATGCTTTTGGGGAACATAGTTAAACCATAGATGAATTTGAGATTCTGCTAAGTCGTGCTTTTCTTGTGACTAAATCCTGTTCCTTTGTGTATATATCTTGCATTTCCCTTTGGTAAATACTTTAAGGTCATTTAGGTTCCACGCAGGGCTCCTCTGACACTATGAGCTAGCAAAACAAATAAGTTGAACTTGATCTCTCATGAATTAGAAATTATGTAATTTCATACACAGAAATTATGTGGTTACAATTAAAACAGACTTATTGGACCTATTTATCTGCACAAACTATTTGCTGTTAGGCACAAAACCATGTTGAATTTGATAGGGAATTGTGCTATATAATGTCAAAGAAAATAACCATTTTATGTGTGTAATTTCATGGATTATTAACAACACATACTTATTTTTTTACCCCAGCCCCAAATAGTACATTTTTAAATAGCGTCTTAATGCTAATGTTTTTCACTCATTTAGTGGTTACTATTATGTTGAGTTACTTTCTAAATATACTGTAAGGATAGGCAAAGTGTAAAAGGGATTAAGCCCTTCCCAGTTTCTGCAAATGGTCCAAGAAATGTATGTTAAAGAGTGGAATTTGAAATTGATATCATAACCTCCTAATAATAATTATCTCCAGTTAAAAACTGTAGCTTTTTTGAGGGAGTAAAACATGTGAAGAATGAGCTGATTGACTATAAAGTTCCTATACACACACACATTGACTAGACAACCTGCAAAGACTCAATCCTTTCAGGATCATGAGAACCCTGAATTTCAAAATGCCAAGTGTGCACGCAGGGAGGTTGCCAAAGTTGCCATTCAAAAAATGACCACTAGAGGGAGTAGAGCATCATAAATATTTCCTTAATTTGTTGCTTTGCTTTTTGGTAAGCTAGCAGGAAAGTAACATTCAAGTGCAAATACCTAAATCTTATTTTATACTTTTTCTAATATTTTTATCATTACAATCTTAAATATTCTGATAAGCAATGAAAAATTGTGATAAGAGAAATTAATAAGAGTGCATGATTAATATATTAATATTTACATTTTTGTATGTAAAATGTTCAGAATTTAAATTCATTGTGTGGAAATAAAATACAGATCAATTATTTCGATCTAGTAGTGTAAAATGTCTTGGGATGTGAGTATTTTGTGGGTTCTCTGGTTTTATTGGCTGTAGCTATAATGAATATATTTACCTGTTAGTCTGTCACTTTCTGTTACAGTTTTCCCAGACATTTAAGACAGAGTATTTCACTGGGCAAATGTTTGGTTATATTGAAACAAAACCAAATGTTTAATTCTCAAAAAAAAATCTACCTATCTTAGGAAAAATAAAAATAGAATTTTTCAAGGGTGAAAACACTAGTTTTAGGATGAATGAATTTCAACACCCTACCCCAATATTTCCACTAATATTTCATATATTTTCTCTGAATTTTGTAAATAATTTAGAATATGGGAAAATTCTGACATCAATTTTTAAGTTTTGATTTGGATTGGATTTTTATGTTTGACTATTCAGAGAAAAGCTAAAAGTAATGTATATATTTTGAAACATTGAATCATAAGATAGCATTTAAAATTTTAAAAAACTTCATGAAAAACTGAGGTATTAGCTCTTTATATGATAAAATATATTCAAATTTGAATTTATGTGATATTCCCCAAGGAAAAAGAAGAAAATATCTGGTTATTTCAAATTATTCTTAATGAAAAAAAAAAAACACTTAACTATTTGACACTTAACTATTTGAAAATCATTTCTAATTCATTTTCTTTTTTTTTAGTTACCTAGTATTAGCACCAAGGTCCATAAAGAAGTTTTTCTCCTACTCCTCCAAGTTTACTGAAAATTGTTTCTTCTATTTAAATAGAATATCTTCTTTCTTTTTTTCCATTGCAAGAAACACCTACACTTAGACACATAATTCTGCAAGTGATACGTCAGTGTGGAAAGATCTCAGTTACCTTGGTTTTACTTTGCCATTTAATAAGTGATTCGGGGCCAGGCAGATCCTTGATCTGCTCTTCACTTCCTTTGCTACAGCTGCCTTTCCTTCCCTGATGATATTCTGACTTGTTCGGCTTCTCCATTTGTAAGTAAAACCATATCGCCAAAGTACCTCAAAAGCCAGGCTTATTCGTTTGTATTTTAATTTTACTCATATTTAGAAAAGTTCAGTGTGAAGTCAATATCTACTGGTTGTAAACAACCCAAAACACATGAATTTTACTGAAGGATAAAAATTAAAAGATAATTATTTTTTTCTCTTTTTCTTAGACTGTATGCTTCCTCTGTACAGTTTAAATCTTTCCTGATATTTCCTAGCATGTGCCATCCTGTATATATACATGCTATTATACATGCATATTCCCCCCCCCTTTTTTAAACAAAAGTGGGGTTGTGTGACTTTCCTTTTCTACTAACAATATATTTTTAAGAAGCTCTGTGCCAGTACTTACAGAGTTGATTCATTTGTTAGAGTTGCACAAGACCTCACATTTTGTAGAGACCCGTCTTCTACTGACAGACATTTAAATTGTTTCCGGCATTCATTATATCAAGCAGTGCTGCAATGCAGAAACTTGAATGAATATCTTTGGAATCTTGTGTATTTCCTACGTTTTTATAAATAAAATCCTATAGGTACTGAAAACACAGCTGGCTTGTCATTATTTTTTTATTCATGGTCTGCCTATTTCCACAAAGTTTCTTACATGTTTGTGCTTTAGGTTGTTCATGTCTCTGAAAGATATGTACTTTTGTCAACAAAATATGTTGGTGGCCGATAATCAGATTTCAAAACCAGAAGTGCTATTTGAGTCCCTCTATACTTGAAAGTGAAAGGGAATCATTTGTCTCGCTAACTCAGGTGGAAAACTCTTATTGAAAAGATTGGAGGAAAAAAAAATACTTCACTGGGTTACCAGAATCATTGTGACTTTAAATCCGTTTGATTAAATATGAGATCAACTATTAGATATTGATATTTTTGTTAATTAAATGTCAGTCTGTGAGTGGTTAAGTAAAACTGTAATGGGCATAAACTCTGGATTTTGTAATAATTAAAAGCACCAAACTAGGTGTAGACAAAAAATAACATGAATATATTGTTGGAATGTTTGTTGACCGATTTAGAGTAATAAACAGAATGAATCAAAATCTTTATAAATCAATAAATTAATTATTAGTTTATAAACTAAAGCACTTTACATTAAAATATACACAAAACACTACACATTATGCATGAATTTATGAAATTCAAGAATACCAGGCACATCAGTGCAGTTCTAGAGAAAAACGTGGATGAGATTGAGGACTACACTCAAAAGACGGCAGAAAATAAAGAATAAGCGTTTAGATGCTGCTCTCAGGCATTTTGGGATACTGAGATGTCTTTTTATAGCAGTGAGTGGCTCATTTCCTAAAAATACTTTCTAAGTTGTCTTGGTTTTAGTTTTTTGTTTTGTTTTTTTTTTTTTAAATTTCGAGTTTACATGTTAACATGTGTAGAAAAGACCAAAAATAAAATTTCTCAAAAATAATTGGAATTTGTATCTGCTTACACTTCTGTGGTAATGAATGATGGTATGTTTTAGAGACAACTGTAGTTGGGTGTTTGTTGTATTCTGGGTCCATCAGGACATGTTCAAATGATGGTTTCTGTAAAGATGAGAGGTGTGGGATGGTGTTTAGGGCTTCCTTATGATATGACCACAAGGACATAAGAACAGCCCAGGTAACTGTTTGAACTTCCCTTTCAGGTGCATTCCAAGAGCTGGAAACTGAGCCTGGGAGTGGGTAGAAATGTCCAACTGCAAGCATACTGGAACCCAACATATTAAACAGGTTTATTCATTCCTACCCCACCACCATCAATTCCCCTCAAAGAGTCTCTATGGGTTAAGAACATAGACTTTTCTGCAAGTCCTTCTGTATTTTAATGCCAGTTCCTACATTTACTAATATGATGATCTTTAGCAAATTACTTCTCTGTGGCTCATTTTCCTCATTTATAATCTCATAGCATCATGTTGAAGGCCCAGAGTCAAGGTGATCTAAAGAAGACTGTATCTGAGTGAATGATGACAAACCAACAGGTAACTCTCACAGAGCTCTTACTATGTCCAGGCATAGTTATGAGTACTTTTCACATGATTGTTCAATCTTCAAATGTAGGAACTGGCATTGAAATACAGAAGGACTTTTTGAGGGGAACTGACTGTGGGGGTAGGGTGAATATAACCTGTTTAATATGTTGGGTTCCAGTATGCTTGCAGACACTGCAGGATTGACTTTTAATGTTCTGCAGTGAAAGCCTGGAAGGATGTAAATGGTAGGTCAGGGAGAAGGAGTTGGGAGAAATCCCTGGAGGTGCCCTTCTGTGGAGGCTGGAGTTCTGAGGGTCCTTTCCTCTATTTATATAACCCTGAGGCTTCAGTCTACTTCATTACCATCACCATAGAGAGGATCCCAGAGCAAGAAGGTTGGCAGAACAAGGCAGCATTCTTGAAACGTGATACTCTTTGTTTTGGTGAAGTTGGCAGGCCTTTCTGAATCTCCTTTCTGGATGAATAAAAACCCCAAACATCAAGAGCCGGATGTTTGAATGTTTTTAAACCTTGTAATTTTGTAAAAATGTCTGTTCCTGGCCCCTTCTCCACACTTTCCCCTGGCTGACTGTCATGATGTTCTTCAACTCTGTTGACTTTTGAGTGAAGAAAGTGTAATTTGAGTTTGTTTTCGCAGCAAGGTGGTAGCAAAGGATATTTATGGTGTTGAAGAATTTCAGTTTTCTCTCAGACACATAGGATGTGCAGTATATTTAAAATCCCACTCTCCAGGATATCTCCCTTCTGCTGAGATAATAAAATTGATCAGATGTTTTAAGGTTAAATAAACTGCTGTAATAATCTGGCAGCTGCCTGCTGGTTGTGGTTTTCGAAAGCAATTACTCACTCTGGAGTCAACTTTGAACTCCACATTTTAATTGAAAAAGCTAATTGTAGGTTATTGCTCCTGATTTAGTATTTGATTTTGTAGATTAGGAAGTAAAAGCACTTGGTGGTGGGGGGCACAGAGAAAGTATGCAGAAGTGTTGCTGAGCTCAAATTCCTGTTTATATGAGTTTTTTCACCCACGGAGACATTGTATGATCACTGGAGAAAATGCGCTTGTACCAACAAACCTGTGGGCATCAGTATGAGGCTGGCCTACAAAATCCTTATTTTTGGCTTATTTTTTTTTCTCCTCACCCCACCCTATCTCTGTGGAGCTGGTGGAGAGACAGAGAGAGAGGTTATGTGGATATTAGTTTCTTTGATTCAAGTCTGAAATTTCAGGTAAGAATTTTCAGGAATAGTGAAAGACTACATTATATGTCTGATTGAGAGTCTATTTAAATCTTGGAGATGCTAATGGTAAAGATTCACTTTCACTAGGGCATATCTCACAGTTTTACTAAAATTCGGCAAGATATAGGGGTGTTAATATGGCTACGTGAAATAACAAATCAAGCCTCCTTTGGAATCATTAAAATTCTTAATAATGATTAAAAATCAATTACACACAAATTTTCCATCTGGAACACTTGGTAGCATCCTTAAAATGGTCAGAAAATAATTGATAGAATTGATCTGAGAAATTTGAGAATTTGTTTTTCTGCAGATTTGTTCCTATCTGAGAGCTAAGTACTTTCAGGTTTATTCTGCACAGATGATACTGTGCATTTTGAAGATACATGTTCTCTGCATTTAAAACATGCATATGGGTTTGTATGTGGCTTCTTCGAACTTTATGCCCAAAGCTCAATTGGCAAACTGTAGTGGGAATTTCCTGTGAATCAGATAAAATATTGGTAGTCTAAAGTAGAGGTGAGATTAAAGGTATGAATATGTGAATCCATTAATTTTACAAGACATTTTAACATACTAGTTAATGTATCATTTGGGATTTTATTTTTGGATTTTTTTATGGAATGCAGATTTGGCTGATCACAGTTCTGTTGATATTTTCATTGACCTCATAAATATAATTTAATCTCTGAGCATCAGCTTTCTGATCTGTGAAAATAAGATAAATATTCTTCCCACACACTTTATGCTTAAAACTCCTCTATTGAAACAATAAACAGGGTCATAATATATGACTTCGAGTATTGCTCCAGAATCCAATGTTCTCTTTATCAACAACAAAGAGCAGCTGACATTTTTTTGGCATCTCAGTATCAAATTTGAAGATACTATAGTTAATAAAAAAAGAAACATCTGTGTTGGTATATTATGAGAATTATTCTGAAATACGGATATCAGAGAAAATATCAGCTTCCTGCTACATGATTTCCAAGAGTCATTTTTTGTGATCCCAATATTCATTGAGGTCCTCAAGTAACAATGACTCATAAGCAAGGACAGGAAGAGACCTTATAGATGTGAAGACTTCAGTTAAAAATATTTAGTTCTACTTAAATATTTCAACATGAAATTTATTTATTTATCCTTTTTACTCATGGGTATCTTCTTGAAAAAATACATTGGTTTAGAAAATTAAAAAAAAAAATGACCTCTGTGGTGAGATTAAAGAATTTACTTCCCCGCCATGGGAATAAAAAAAGAAAAAAGAAAAAAAAAATCAGAATTTTAAGATAATATTAGTAGCAGATTATAGAGGCAACGGGCTAGCACTTTTCTGATAATAAATTTTAAGGCTTGAAGAAAATAAGAATATTTAGCTATACAATGCTTTTTAAAGATATTCTATGAAATAATTGAGGTAAATAAGATTTTCCCCTTTGAATGTCTTAAAGTATAGGAAAGATATATTTCAAACGGCAACTCTAGAGTCTGTATTTCAAAACCCCCAAAATACTTCTGTCATGCTGGCATAGTAGACAATTCAGAATACTGGCTCAGAAAAACAAGATGGAATCACATCTCAGGCAACTACTTGCTTTTGACTTTGGGCAAAGTACAAAATTCTGATAAATCTCAGTTTTATAATTGAGGGATAACAATAATTAAATTCAGGGATAACAATAATAATAATAATAATAACAATAATACTTACTGAACTATGGTAAAGATTAAATGAGTTACA